TTCGTGCCTTAAAACCAAGCTGGTTTCTTACTGTCTTCAAAACCAGTTATAAAAAACCAGTTATAAAAGTCAAAAATTAACTTCTAAAAACAGTTATAAAAGCAAAAAAATTAACTTCTAACCTACAAATATGATTAACTGACTTATAACTTAGGATGACAGGGCAAGAACAAGGTATACAATAATACTTCTTACTTGGTGTTTTATCTTCGGAGGTATCTTTAAAATCATAGGCAGTTCAGGCAGAGCTGCCCTTGGTCAAAGCTGCACAACCCCTTCTATTATAAAACTGACTTAATTTGCTCAAAGCGTGTCAAATTTTCATGTTCTGTGTGTCTGAAACAGCTAGTTCAGAACAGGTCACTAAGTTTCAGACGAGGCTTACAAAACCCTCACTCTGCCAGGCTAAATAAGTTGGTACAGCCTTTCCATCGAGAGGCTTTGGATAAATGTGACAGTAGGGTGCACTTTCTGCCAAAAGTGTGTCTTTCACTGTCTCTAGAATCACTTGTGCGTGCTTCATTGAGCTGAAAGTCCCTTAAAAGCAGCTCACGCGTTCTCAGTAAAGAAATCGAGGATTTGGCAGCTGAACTCCCCAGCCATCTCACCTGCAGTGAGCACATGGCACCGTCCCAGATGTGAGCCAGACAGCACTTGCTGTCCCCACAGGTAACACTCAGGTTGAGCAAGACTTTCCCTCCAGCTGCTCCTTTTGGATCTTCATGCCCCCAGCCAGTTCCTGTTGGTTTGCAATGTCCCTGCCAGTGCTGCGAGCCAGCGGTATTAGAGACAGTCTACCAAAACTACAAAGTGGAGAAATCCCTTCAATAAGAGGCCTGGGCTTTTCTCACCTTGTTTGCAGTAGCGGTACCTTTGCACCATGCTCAGCACCCCAAGCAGAACCCCACTGCACTCAGCTGCAAGCGAACACCTGGCAGTTTTTGCAAACCTAAGTTTGGCCCTTTGGTCACCAGGTATCTCGAAATGATGGAAAGCACTCTGAAGAGACGTGCCTCGCATCGTCTAGGAGCAGGATGAGAAAGGCTAGAACAGCCTGGTGTCCCCGGGGACAACTGGCTGCAACTATCTGCAGCTTTCTTCAGCACAAACCTGCCTTCTCTCCCTGCAGCCCCTCGCCTCTCTCCCGGTACGTGCGCAGGCTGCTGAAGAGGCACAGGCAGCACGTTCCTCCGGCACACAGCCCCAACTCGCCTCCGAGGCGGCCGGTTCACACACAGAGTCAGGTCTGGCAGAAAAGCGAAGCTTTTAGTTACACAGTACATATGCAACAGGAGGCAGCGCTGGAGTTTCACAGACTGAGATCTGGAATTTTTCAAATGAGGGAATGGAGGGTTAGCTGCTCCTTAACTTTGTCAGTGCTTCACGGCTTGCACACGGCGGAACAGAGCTGCTCCTTCTAAGCTAGGCATTCACGTGGCTGACCTCACCTGCAAGGACTTGCATGCAACAACAAAGGGGCCCATCTTGTTCCCACTTCAGTGGGACTTAACGGATTTACTGGAAAACATTTAAAATTACTCAGATTTCCCCCCACTCCTCCAGGTAGAAAGGCACTGTACATTGAAGAAGTGCTAGGGAAATTTCAATTCATCTGCTGCAGCCACTTTATAATATATTTTTTCCAAAGCTTAATGATATCCAAGACTTTTTTTAACTTAAAAGACAGCACTGAGATTAAGAAGCCTTGACACAGCACTAAAGGCAGAACGAGAAAAGCCCTTTACTACTTAAATTGCCTTTTAAAACTCAACTTCAATATTGCCAGGTAATCCCAGGGTACATGCTAAATAATATTTTTAACCTTATGCTTTTGCTAGATGATTTGCCCAAGGCAAGAGGTAGATGAGTCAGACCACTGGAATTCTTAGCAGCGGGTCTGTTTTCAAAATCAAGCCCAACTTCTACTATCTGTTAAATGAGCAGCATCAAAAGGTACAAAACTAGAAGGAAGAAATGCCAGCCAGGTTTCAGTCTGGGGTCACACGCGTACCATGGACACTAAGGCAGTGTGGCATTTCACTGACATGCATTTTGGATCTGTGGCTCTTGACAGTGCCTGTTGCTGGCAGGAGGCTCAAATTCTGCTTCTTACTCCCCTATGCTGTGCTGTTTTCAATTAGAACTCAGGGAAAGTTTGAGCAGCATCTTCAATTAAGCCAACGAAGTTAAGCTTTGGGTACAACTAACTGACTTGCTGCTGCAGGTAGTGTCTTGAGAACAGATGAAATAGAATTAGTATGAAAAGGACTGCAGCTTGCTCCAACCCATAGCAGCACCTATAGGATAAAGCTGTGATTTAAGATGGGATTTGAAACAGCCACCGAGGAAAAAATACTCCTGGCATGCACTATTTCCATTCATTACATTCCTCCCTCCAAGTCCGAGCCTTTATATGGCACCACAAAAAGCTTTTACCAAGTGAACAAGGAATACACCTCAGGCATAGTATGGGAACCAACAGCTCAGACAGTGCCGGCACCTTTAGTAGCAGGAAGGCACCAGTGTAGAAACCTGGAGCTGGACAGAGCCATCGTCTTCAATCTCGAAACCCTACAAATTGTCAGTCAGATGGCGAGAACCAAGCACATACCCAACTTCCGTACCCGCCAGCAGAGACCTCACAGCTCCCGGGGCAGTCACGGGGCAGACACGCAGGGAAGAAGCAAGAAATCTTTTTGCTTCAGGCAGAAACCTTTGCCATAGAAAGGAGAAAAACCCCACACTTTCTATCAGCCAAACAGCTTGATGCAAAATCAAAATGTTTCCAGTAATCAAATACATGAAAATCAACGGTTAATGCAAAACAGAAAAGTTCTGGAGGATGGTCTAAGTGCAGCCACAGGGATCGGTGAAGAACGGTGAGCGGGTTGAGAATGAACGGGAAATAGCGCTGACAGGATAGGTGAGAAGAGAAACACAGCCCAAAAAGATTTAGGGAACAAAGAGCTGAAAACAGAAGCAAAACAGAAAAAAAGGGCAGGAACCACAATGGGGAAAAAAATACGGAAGAGCAACAGCAACAGGAGAGTGAAATAAAATGCCTGGTGAACCAGGAAAGCAGCATCACGTACAGGAAGAAAAGCAAAGCGCCCAGTCTTTTTCTCTGAATGAAACTGTGGTCGTTAACACATTAATTAACCAAAATACACACTTATCTGCCATCCTTGGAGAAGCACAGACTTTGAAGATGCATAGCAAACTTCAATTACCTAGCAGCTGTCAGGGAAGCTTTTAATTCAGAAAACTGAGCTGCCTTTCAGCCTTAATTTAAGGGAACTGCTTGGCAACAGCCATTTTCAGCGAGCCAATTTTTAAAGAAGAGCACAGAGAGCTCAGATTCACAATGTTAACCACCGCTTTCTGTGGGGCAGACTTTGGGACCGAAACCTGAAGAGGAACGGCGCTGCAGGCAGCCGGAGTTTGTTTTCACAGTGTAACTCATTTTCCTATCGCTGGAACACACACGGCTCTTCCTGCAGCTCTCAGCTGGAAAATGCTAATTTTGAATTATCGGTGCTTCGATCCCATGACAAAAAAACCAAGTTTGGTTGTTCTTGTATTCTGTAGGATGCGTGAATAACCACGCTCAGGAGTCTAACTTTGCTCAGAACGTTGCACGTGGAGTCTTGCAAAGAGCTGTCTTGATTAGACTGTGACCCTTTTCCTTGATCTAGGCAAAGGCAGGAGAAAGAATTCACACCTTGAAGGTGCTGCCCTTGCTACAGCCAAAGCAGCACCATTAAGGGTTGTTTCGGAAGAGCTAAGCTACCCATGGCAGTAAAAGAAAATAGTATTAGTGTGGATGCTGAAAGGACAGCTTTGAGAAGAGACAACCCTGCTGCAACAACACACTGAGGGAATTTAAACCACCTGCAGCAGCGACATGTTGGAGCACTTGCAAAGACAACGGCAGCTCTGAGCCTCACAGCTCCCGCTGCACTGGGTGGACAACCCAAACTGGTGTTACAGTGGGTGACATACCCACCCACCCAGGGCAGAACAGGCCCCCACGTGCAGCTGGGGGTTCCCAGCCCCTCTCCTCACCCCGGCTTCCCCCGTGTCTCCCTTACCTCACGGGGCCTCCTGCCAGGCTGAGGTGCTCCTGCTGTGCCCCCCGGGGCCAAGGCTGCTGGGGCTCTCCCTGCTCCCACCTGCCCGGGGAGGGGGGGACAGTCAGAGCTGCCTGTACCCCTGGGGTGCGACGACCACCCCCCAGAAGGCAGGCTTCCCCCCCCCCTCCTCCAGTTAAGCCTACCCCTTTTCTATAACACCCACCCAAAAGTAAGGCTTCCCCCCCGCTCGCGCTGCCCCTTTTCCTTCCCCAGCATCCCCTCATCTCGCTGGGATCTCGCTGGGGTCTCACCCCCTACCAACCCCCCCCCAAAATGAGGCGGCCTTCCCCCACCTCACCCCCCAACTAATGACTCCCCCACCTCAAGTTTCACCCCCTCATCCCCATCCCAACCTTCCCCCCACCCCGCTCCAAACCAAATCTGGCGCCCCCCTCATCACCTCCAAGCGACGCCTGCCCCCCTCCCCAGACCCTCATTCCCAAACACTTCCCCCCCCCCCCCACCATTCGCAGCAAGAGCCGCCCTTTCCTCCACAGCACCCCCACTGAGGGCTCCCCCTTCCCAGGGGTACCCCCACTCCGCAACACCCCCCTCCACAGCTGCTCCCCCCACTTGAGGCCGCCCCCCCCCCCCCCCCTCCGCTCCCCGGCGCTAGGCCGCAACCGGCGCCCGCCCGAGCGCGGCCGTGCGGGCAGCAGCTCACCTGGGCGAGCGGGCGGGGGGGCGGTGGGGCCGAGCCGGAGCGGCGGGGAAACCAGGCCGGGGCGGGGGGAAGCGCAGGGAAAGGGGAAGGGGAAGGGGGGGGGCGGCGGCGAAGCGGCGGCGGCGGCGGCGCGGGACCGGGCCTCTACTCGCGGCGGCGCAGGGCGGCCATGGCGTGACGTCATCCAGGCGCGACGGCCCTCGGCGCCGGGGGGGAAGGGAGGGGCGGAGCGAGATCACCCCTCCCGACCACGCCCCTTCACCTACGCGCATGCGCTGCCGGCCCGGCGGCGCCTTAAAGGAGACGCGCGCCCGCGTGGGCGCACACGCGTGGGGGTGGGTGTGCGTGCGTGTGAACAGAGCGGGGTGTTGGGGGGGTGGGGGGGTGGGCGGTAGGCGTGCCAAGGGATGCAAGGGAGGTGTGTGAACACGAAGGCACGCATGTAGGGGTACGCGTCCACGCGCGTATGCTCACACGTGTCACACAAAGGTGCTCGTGGCCGTGGGGTGCAGCACCCCTCCACCCCGCCCACCAGGACCCCACGGCCGGGGCAGCGCCGGCCCCTCGCCCCTCCCAGCTTCCTGGCCTGGGGTCAAGGTCAGCCCCGGGGTGGGGCGTACTGGGAGGGAGCTTACCAGGAGGGGGGGCTTACTGGGACACTGGGAGGGGGCTCGCTGGGAGCAGCCCGTGGGATTTTGGTGGGTCTGGGCTGGAAGATGCTCCTTCATCGCCCCCCGACCCCCAGCAGTGGTGCCAGGCTGGCCGCGCCCCCTGCCTTATCCCCTCCCCTTGTGCCAACAAGCCGGGAGAGGATTGGCTCAGGCGAAGGGGTGGGGCTGGGTGGGCGGAGTCTCGTGACAGGTATATAAGGTGGGGCGGAGTGGGGTGGGGAGGATCCCGTGGAGAACTGCTGGAGGTGAGTGGGGATGCTCCCCAGGATCCCTCCTAGTTGGGGACCTGCTCCTGGGACCCACCCTTCCCTGCCCCCCCCATCCCCCCCCCCCCCCCCCCAAGACAACTTCCAGTTGGGGACTCTCCCCAGGATGCCCTCCCACTCGGGGACGCCCCCCAGGACCCCCACCCCAGTCGACTCCCACTTGGGGACGCCCCCCAGGACCCCCACCCCAGTCGACTCCCACTCGGGGACGCCCCCCAGGACTCCCCACCCCAGTCGACTCCCACTTGGGGACGCCCCCCAGGACCCCCACCCCAGTCGACTCCCACTTGGGCACGCCCCCCAGGACTCCCCACCCCAGTCGACTCCCACTTGGGGACGCCCCCCAGGACTCCCCACCCCAGTCGACTCCCACTTGGGGACGCCCCCAGGACCCCCACCCCAGTCGACTCCCACTCGGGGACGCCCCCCAGGACCCCCACCCCAGTCGACTCCCACTCGGGGACGCCCCCCAGGACTCCCCACCCCAGTCGACTCCCACTCGGGGACGCCCCCCAGGACTCCCCACCCCAGTCGACTCCCACTCGGGGACGCCCCCCAGGACTCCCCACCCCAGTCGACTCCCACTTGGGGACGCCCCCCAGGACTCCCCACCCCAGTCGACTCCCACTTGGGGACGCCCCCCAGGACTCCCCACCCCAGTCGACTCCCACTTGGGGATGCCCCCCAGGACTCCCCACCCCAGTCGACTCCCACTTGGGGATGCCCCCCAGGACCCCCACCCCAGTCAACTCCCAGTTGGGGAGGGTCCCCGTTGGGGAGCCCCCTGCCCCAGTTGGTGACGCTCCCCAGGACCCCCCCCCAGCAGTCTCCTGGCTGGAGATATCCCTACACCGCCACAGTTGGGGTGGCCACCGTGGGTGCCCCTGACCCCCCAAAGCCCTTGTTGCCCCCTGTCCCCCCATCCCCCTCACCCAAGGAGCCGGGGTGTGGGTGCAGCCCCGTGCCCGCGTCCCCCCACCTTTGCTCCAGCGCTGACTCAACACCCCACGGGGCCGCTTTGCGTAAGAGCCGGGCTGGCAAGCAGACTCTGCCCCGGGGTAGCCACCGCCAGCCTGGCCCCGGCCAAAGGGCAGGCGTGGGGAGGCGGGGGGTGGTGGTGATGGTGGGAAGGGGTCCCTTGGAGTGGGGAGGAGCTGGAGAACCCCCCACCCCCCCCCCCCACACACACAAATTCAGGGCTGACGCCTTCTTCCCCGGCAGGCTGGACCGTGCTCCTCGAAGATGGATTACGCCAAATCCTTGAGCCTGCGCTTGGCTGCCCCCGTCTCCAAGTAAGTGCTGGGGGGGCCACCATCCCCGGCGGGGGGTGTGGGTGTGTGTGGAGGGACACACACACACACACCACAGCCCTCCCTTTGGCACCTCTTGGCCCCTCTCGAGTAGATGTGCTGCTCCCCAGTGACACTTGGAGGAGGGGAGCGGGGGGGTGGTTGTACCTCCTGGGGCTGGCGGTGGGTGTCAGGACAACCCGATTCCATCCTCCCCCCCCCCCCCAATTCATCCCCCCCGCCCCAGATGTGTTTCAGCAAGCGCCTCCATGACCCAGCAGCTCCTGTCGAGCCCGTCCCCGCCGCCCCGACCGTACCGTGTCTGCAACTGGGACCGCAGCCTGCGCAAGGGTGTCATGGCCCAGAGCCTCGCCGAGCTGCTGCGCCAGGTCAGCCGGGGGCTGTCTGTCTGTCTGTCCAGCCAGAGTGGGGTGGGCTAGCTGCAACCCCCCCCAACTCACCCCCAGCCCCCCCTCGCAGGCTCAGAGCGCCCTGCTCGCCCCGGGTCCCGTCTCGCTGGTGTTGGAGGAGGACGGCACTGCGGTGGAGACGGAGGCGTTTTTCCGGACGCTGGAGGAAGGCGCGGTGCTGATGGTCCTGAGCAAGGGGCAAACCTGGGCTGCTTCCAAGGTGGGTGCCCCCCCGGGGGATTGCGGGGTTGGGGGGGATGTGTGTGTGTGTGTGTGTGTGTGTGGGGGGGGGTGGCACGAGCCTGGATTATCCCATCTACTCCCCATCCTGAGATCAGCGGGGAGATGATGTGAGGAGGTACCCGGGATGCTGAGGGAGGTGGGACTGGGAGAGCAGGGCTAACCTTGGTCCTGCTCTCCCCCCCCCCACCCCCAAAGACCCCCGGCTACCAGCTGAGTCTGTCCCGCAAGCCCCCTCGGAGGATTGATGTCGCCTGCATCACCTTTGACCTCTACAAAACCAACCCGCGGGACCTGGGCTGCCTCAATGTCAAAGCCACGCTCTACGGCACCTACAGCATGTCCTATGACCTGCGCTGCTACGGGGCCAAGCGGCTGATGAAGTGAGTGCTGGGGGGCAACTGGGGGGGGGGGTGGGCTGGAGACAGCTCCAGGAGTGTGTGTGTGTGTGTGCGGCTGGGTGCTGCAGCGGGGGACCAACCCCACACCCTTCGTTGGGGGGTGCAAAGAGGGATGCTCACCCCTTTCCTCCCCGTCCAGGGAAGCCCTGCGCTGGACGCTTTTCACCATGCAAGCCACGGGTCACATCCTGCTCGGCACCTCCTGCTACATGCAGCAGCTCCTGGATGCCACGGAGGAGCCGAAAGAGGCGGAGGGCAGCCCAGCGCTGCAGAGCCTCCTGCCCTGCAGCCTCCCGCCCTCACCCCGCAGGAAAACGCTGCAGTGAGGGTTGGGTGCCCTGTCACTCCTCCTCTGCCACCCCCCCTCCTTCAATCCTTGGGGGTCTCAGCACCCTGCTAGGTCAATGCTTGGAGCGGGGGGGGAGGCTGCTATGGTACCTGGCACAGCCCCTCCTTGCACTGTGCTGGCTGAGCGTGGCCGGCTCTTTTCTGTAATATCTACTCCTCTGTAAATATATTTATTTAAGTAAAGCTCTGCTGACTTCAGCTGCGTCTCATCTCATCTTTGCAGGGTGGGGGCCTCAGCCACTTGCCCTACTTGGCACTCGGGGGGGCTGTGGTGCAAGAGGGTGTAAGGATGGGACCTGTCGCAAGCTCTCCCCCAGGGATCTGCTGCCCTCCTCCTCTTCCCTGGCTGGCACCCAGAGGCTGGCACCCACCCCCTTGGCATGGATCTGAACCTTCCCCCCCCCCCCCTTCCTGGCACTGCAGGCAAGCCACGGGGAGGGGGTGGCACAGAGCGGCTCTCCCCCCAAATTAATGTGCTGGGGGGGGGCAGTTGGCACAAAGCCTGGTTTTGTGCTGTTTAAAGGGGTAAAAGATGCCCCTGCCCTGTGGCTGCGGGTGGTCCTGCTGCCGGGGACCCCCCCCCACTGTGCCACTGGCACCCTGAGCAGGGTTGGTACGGAGCCTTGGGGTGGGTGTTTTGGTTCCTGGGGTCCCTGTCCTGGGAGGGATAGTGGAGGGGGGGGGAGCTGCTGCAGCAGCCCCAGCCTTGTACAACCCCTCGGGCTGGTGCTGCCCCAGCTGTGCCCTGGAGGGTGTCCCTGTCCCCCCCCCTCCCCAGCTACCAGCCTAGGAACCAACCCTGAGCCTGGGGGGGACACTGGGTTATATCACCCTGGAAGTTGCAGGACCATTCCCAGAGTGGGAAAGGGGGGGGGAGCCCAAACTGGGTTCCCCAAAGCACAAGCCCTCCCAGCCAGGGGGGGCAAGCTGAGACTGAAGGAATGACACACACCCCCCCCCGAGCCCACCTGCGCTGTACTGGGAAGCACTGGGGGTGAGGTGCAGGGTGGGAAATGCTCCGGGGGTGCTTGGGGCATCCCCCCCTCCCCGTGCTACAGCGCAGGGGACACGGGACCTGAACCCCCACTCACCTGGGGGACCCCCCTGCGGGGGTCTTGGGGCTCCAGCGAGGGAACAACCAGCCTGGCCGAGACTGGAACTGGGCACAACCCACCTGGGGCTGTGGGGGCTTCATTAACCAGCTAATTAACGACCCTGCAGCCTGGGCTGGGGCACAGATGGGTAACACCTGGGGTGAGGCGGGTGCTACAGAGGGGGCGGCGGTGCTCTGCCCCCCCCCTGCTATTGCAGGCTGTCCCCGCGGCCACACACACCCGATGTCCCCATCCCCAGCCTGATGTCCCTGACCCCCCCCCCGGGGTGACAGTGGCTGTGCCAGCCCCTGCAGCGTCCCCCACCCGCACGTAGGTGGCAGCCTGGCTTTATTAGACATATTTATTTCTGTACATACTTATACACACGGTTCCCAGGGTAGCTTCAACCTCGCCTTTAGTGCTGTCTCCTTAGAGGGGCTGGTTTGGGGGGGGGGGGGGCACCCACACGGTTCCAAAGGTGCCGGGGGGGGCCTAGCCCAGCCACGCTGCACCCCCCCCCCCCCCCCCATAGTGTCTACCTAGGGGCAGAGTCCTGTTGTTGTCCCCCTCAGCCAGGGTGCCTTCCCCCTGCCTCAGTTTCCCTGCAGCAGGGGCAGAGGTAGGGGCACTACACGCCTGGGGGGGGGAGGGGGGGGGGCCGGCCCCCCCCCTACCTGCACCACGCTTCCCCCCCACCCCCGCAGGGTTCTCAGCCCGGGATATGTGGGACAACCCCCCCACCCCCCCTGTCCCCCCCCAACCTCAACCCAGGGCAAAGTTTGGGGATACTGGAGGGACCTCCAGATGCTGAAGCCACCCTGGCGGAGCCTCCCGGGGGTCCCCCGTCACCCCAATCCCCGAAAGGGTGGGGTGCCAGGCATCGGTTCTCAGTCCCCCGGCCCTTGCAGCCCCCCCCAAGTGGCGGTGGGGGGGCAGTGGGGGGGGGACACACACACACACTTTACTTGACGTGCTCGGCGGCGTGGGAGGAGCAGTAATACTTCTTGTGGGCGATGAAGGTGGAGAGGCTGCTGAACTTGATGTTGCAGAGGCGACAGTACCTGTGGTTGCCGTTGGGCACCGGGCCGGGAACAGCCTTGGCCGGGGGGGTCTGCACCCCCCTGTCCGTGTAGGCGGGGGGCGTGGGGGGCTTGCGGGTGGCTTCCCGCAGTCCCTCGGGGGCTCCGGGCGAAGCGGGGGGTCGAGGTGAGGCGGGGGGCCGGGGGCTGCCATCCCGACCCTCCTTGCCGTTGAAGCTGTCCCGGCGGAGGCGGGGGGCGGGCGGGCGGGGGGGTGACGCCGCGGGCAGGGGGGGCTCGGGCGTCCTGCCGGCACCGGGCACCGGGGTGTCGGGGAGCCCCTGCCCGGCGGCCGCCGGTTTGGCCACGAAGAGCCCGTGGGCGTTACGGAAGTGCTCGAGGAGGTCGCCCTTGATGGCCCCGTTGAGGGGACAGTAGGGACAGGCAGAGAGGGGTCCCTTCACCCCCAAGGGGGGCAGGGGACCCTTGGGGTGCCGCTGCTGCAGCGAGTCCGCCCCGGGGTAGGGGACGCCGGGGCTCCCCGCCGGAGCCGCCTTCACCCGCACGCCTTCGGGGTCCCCCTCGCCGGGGCTGCCGGGGCTGCGCCGCCCTTTCAGGGGGGTGGCCATGGCCCCCTTCATCTTCTGGAGGTGCTCGAGGGTGCGGGGCTGCAGCGGGGTGGCCGGGCACTGGTACTTCTTGTGAGCCAGGTAGCTGTCGAGGCTGTTGAAGCTGAGGCGGCAAGCGGTGCATTCGTGGTAGTCGGCCAAGGGCAGGAGCGGTGCCGGCGCCGGTTCGCCGTGCCGCCGCGGCTTCTTGCTCAGGTCGATGGGACCGTCGGCATCCGGGCTGGAGCGGGGCGAGGGGGCAGCCCCCAGTGGGTCGGGGGCCGGCGATGGGTCGGGGGCCGGCGGGGGTTCGGCGGGGCGGCGGGCGGCCCCGTGGATCTCGTAGAGCTTGCGGCGTTTGCGGGTGCGGAGGGGCTGGGGCAGGAAAGGGACTTTGGGGGCGGCGGGGCGGCGGAGGGGGGGGTCGTGGCGGGAGGCGCAGTAAAACCGCTTGTGCACCACGTAGGTCTCGTGGCGGCTGAAGCGGATGTTGCACGCCTCGCACAGCGTCTTGCTGGGGTCCTCGTCCCCCTCGTCCCCCGCCGAGCTGCCGGGGCTCTGGCTGTCCTCGCTGCACCGCCCCGACCCCCCCTCCGCCTCGGGGGACCCCGCTTTGCCACCCCCCTCTTCTACCTTCACCTCCGGCGCAGCGGCCGGCGGCGTGGCATCCCGGCCGGCGTCCCCGTCCCCCGCCGGCGTCCCCTGCTTGTCGCCCGCCGGGGGGGACAGCAGCGTCCCCTGAGCGGGGGGACCCTTGGGTGCCCCGGGGGGGGCTTTGAGCTTGCGCGCCCCGGGGGGGCTGTCCTCGGCGAGGTGCCGGCTGGAGCAGTACAGGCGCTTGTGCACGTAGTAGTTGTTGATGTTGTTGAAGGTGATCTCGCACTCGAAGCACGTGGCACCCTTGGGCACCGGCGTGCCGGCGTAGACGGCCGGCGGCACCGCGCCGCCGTGGCCCTGCTTCAGCCGGCTGTGCACCAGCTCCGACATCTTCGCCAGGATCTCCGACGCCTGCGGCACCACCGCGGCTTCGTGGCCGAACACGTACTGGGGTAGGAAGACGGTGCCACCGGCCGCCCCTGCCCCCGGCTCGCTGGGCACCGGGCTGGAGCCCGGCGTGGGGCTGGCGAGCTCCGATTTCACCTTGGCCGAGGGCAGGCTGCGGGGGGATGAGGTCCGGGAGCAGGCGTCGGGGCTGCCGCCCCCCTCGCCGAGGCTGCTGCTTTTTGGTGCTTCCGCCTCGCTCGCCGGGCTGCCGGCGGGCTCCTCCTTAATGCGGATGGTCTCGCTGGAGGAGGAGGAGGAGGAGGAGGAGGAGGAGGAGGAGGAGGAGGAGGAAGAGGAGGATGATGACCCTTCCCCGTTCTGCGGCTGGGCTGGCGGCGAGAGCTTGCCGGCCCTGGCGTCGGTGGGCGAGGCGGGCTGTGCCGGGGGGGGCACGGCGTCGGGGCCGGACGTCGGGGCGGGCAGGGGGCCGTGCAGCACCACGTGCTGCGGCAGCGCCGGCAGCCCCTCGGGCAGGAACGGCGGCAGGCTGCACTTCCGCAGGGACGCGTTGTTCGGCTGGCTCAGCCCTGCCGAGGCGAGAGAAGCACCGGCGTCAACCCGCCGTGTCCCCCCACCCACCCCCCGGCGTGGGGATGCTCGTACCCCCCCCCCCCACCTCCCTCCCTGCGGCCGGAGCCGTTCGGGACCGCAGCCCTCCGCGGCGATGCCAGGCTCTGCGAGGGGCGCTGGCACGTGTGTGTGTCCCCCCCCCAACCCCGGGCTGCGACCCGTGGTACCCACCGGGGGCGAGGGGTTTGGCGGCGGGCAGGGCCGGCCCCGGCGAGTACACCTCTCCCTTGGAGCCCGGCTGGCAGATCATGTGGTTGGTGACAAGGTGGCTGTAGAGGATGTCCCTCGTCATGGAGATGAAGCCACAGCTGTGGCAGACGCCTGCGGGAGAACGCGGCAGGGGGCTGAGCGGGCAGGACGGCAGCCGGCGGGGAGGGGGTCCCCGTCCCCAGGCTGTGCTGGAGGGGACAGGGTTGTCCCCGCGGGGACGCCGGGCGGGCGCTCGCTCACCGTTCAGGGTGTCCGTGTGCACCTTCAGGTGACGCTCGCAGTTGGCTTTCGTGGTGAAGGCGGACAGGCAGATCAGGCAGACGAACGGCCGCTCTCCTGCAGGGTGGACGGACAGACGGTCACCTCAGTGCTACGGGAAACGGGGGGGGACGGGGACCGCCGGGACACCCCGCGGGGCCGTGCTGCCAGGTGGGTACCGGCTGCGGGAAGCAGGGTGCCCCCTCCATAGATGCGGGAAGACCTACAAGTGAGCTCCCCCGAACCAGTCACCCAGCTGGTGGAGAACCTCTCCTAACCGGCGCCGCAGCCCCCCCGCAGCCTCCCTTCCCCTCCGCCCAGCCGGTTCCTGGGGGTGGTGGTGGGGGGGGGTCCTCGCCACGTGGCTCGGTGTCCCCAGGCTGCAGCACCCGCGC